GACGCCCCTGAATAAGAAGCAAAAATGCGAGGAGTTAGCGTAGTCCTTAAAAATTACTAATGCTCCCAATGGCGACAACACTGTAACGAAAGTTCTGGAAAACGGGACAGGATTTACTGAGATTTTTTCTTTGAGCAGTCACTCCAGTGAGGCATCTTAAGACACACAATCAAAGACTTGGGAGAACATTATATGTTTTCTTAAAATTATTCATACCCTGGTTTTTCTTTCATAAATATTGTCCTCCTGCACATCTCTGGCCATTCCAAAGTCTGTCACTTTGCATGTTTCCTCCTCTCCAACCAACACATTACGAGCTGCAAGATCTCTATGAATAACCTTACACAAAGAGAAAACGTTTCTTTCGGAAAACACCATTTAACGGAACGAGAGACCTTGGGGTGACTCAGCTGACATGGGATGACATCCTAGGCAGTGAGTCCACGATTTAATGAAAAGTCAGGTATAGTGAGTGACAAATGAGGCCTTATTCTATAAGAACGTCATTCAAAGATTTATTACATCACTCACTGGTATCGATGACAAATAAGACATTCCATCAGCGATTTGCCAAGCAAATTTAATCAGCTGTTGTGAGGTCAGATTTGTTTGTGGTTTGATATCCGGGTCTTTGTAGTAAGTATCATTCAAACCACGGCTCTTTCTCAGGTAACCCAGCAGATCCCCAAAAGGAACATATTCGATCAGCACAAACAGTGGCTCTAGGGAGACAAACAAAGTTCCGCATATACTTGATTATTTACCGCAGATAGAAGCAAAATTAACAATAAACGTCACTCTCCAATAAACGGCACAGCAACTTGGAAGAGTACGACAATTATTCAACGTTTGTAAGAAAATAAAATATCAACTATCATATAACTCGGTAATATTCACAATTCTTGTAAGTTTATTTTAGAAGCAAAGTAGCCATAAGTTTCTAAACTTGAAAAAATAATTGGGAAGGGTAAAATGTCGATGCCACTGAACTGACATCGTATCAAACTTTCATTTAAAGCATGTCATGTTTATCTTCAAGGTCTTCTACCGGAAAGATTCCCGCCCTCATAGAGTGTTCACATCTGACCGGCTCATATCCGCCACATGTATGCAAACCTTAAGCACGCAGTTTTCGTGTTGGCCCATTTTTGGTCCACCAGTAAATTTTGCTGATCGTAGATCTCACTTACTGATTATACATACGCTGCTGTTTAGCGGACAGCATACAACTGTGACTACTTCTTTGCTGTCAAATTAGCTCTATCGAGACCTCACACGTGGATGCAAGAATAGAATATGCCCAAGCTTTCAGCGTCGGTTAGCCGATTTTCCCAGAAGTTAACAGAGATGGAAACAATGGGTTATGAAATGATGGGGTGAATTAAATGGACTATACTGACAAAGACCTCCTCAAAAACAATAAAAACGTAATGAACGCCGCGGTGATCAGTCGAGTAAATAAGGTACCTACGAGTGGCATCCTATGAATTGATTTCAAGACAGTTTCTTGAACCTAGACAAAGAGGGCCACGTGGACCTCTGGGTGTAAGTCTCGTAGTTTACTTTTACCCGAAGATACCAGTCGTTTGCCTGGTTCTAAATAAGCCGTAAATGAGCGCAATAAGCGCCAAATCGAATAATTACGGTATACTATATAAATTAAGAGGAAAGATATCATAAGCCCAAACACCAACATACCGAGAAAAACGAAACTTATCTATACTTTTAATCTAAATTTTTTTTGACGGTAAACATAGCTGATATTAAACTTTTCAGTATTTACCAGACTTGGTAACGCATCCCAAAAGTTTGATAACGTAATGATGAGGTTTAAGTTGTTTCATCAATTCAAGTTCAGACAGCAAATCCTTCCTCTCTGATTCAGAAGCGTTTTCTGCAACAGGATTTCCGATCAATCATGGTCGAATAACATTTCAATAATACTATTATCTAGGTAAACGTATACAGATTGATAAATCATTACATTACATATATAGAGATTGATAGACAAAAAGAGAGATTGATAGATAGATAGACATATGGACAGATTGACAGATAGAAAGATAGATAGATAGATAGATAGATAGATAGATAAATAGATAGATTGAAATAAAGAAAGGTTGATAGAAGGAAAGATAGACAGATAGGTAGAGAGCTAGATACATTTATAGATTGATATACAGATTGCCAGACAAATAGATATACAGATATACAGACGGAAAGACAGGCAGACAGACAGACAGACAGATAAATAAATAGATATCATGCGACCCTACCATACATCATATTCAAGGTGCTTTTCTTTGTCAACGTAAAGTGCCTAGGCTCCAAAATGTGACCATTATTTGAGGGGGAATGTTTAAATTATATCGTAAAATTCCATCGCTACTTCAAGTAGAACAAGCTTCAAACTATGGACATAACCGTGGACTAGTCATATAGAATGTGATTACTTTAAACAGGAGCTTGGAAATTATGCAGAAGCACATCATTAAAATAAAAATAAACGGAACAATTTGGACAGACTTCTAAGTTAGTTCAAAGACCAAGTAAAAAAATTACTTTATTTCTTGGTACCTTTCAACATTTTGACTGCTACGAGCGTCTTCTCGGCTCTTCCTTGTAGATTTACGGCTGTTGCCTTGGCAACCTGACCAAAAGCACCTTTTCCAACTATCTGCTTTATCGTCACATGTTCTCTAGGAATCTCCCAGGAGCGTGCGTATGGATTAAGAGAAGCGTACTCGCTGATTTGTTCAGTGCTGAGTGGACTGGCATCTGCCATCACTCGTGAACGAGTTCTGTCATCCAGTGCTATGTAATGGCTTTGAGAAGGTTTAAGCAATTCGACTGCAATCTCAAAGACAAAGTTGTCTTCAATCAACAAAAGATAATAAACTACCCAACTTGCTCGGAAATTATTTCAAATCTTCAAATCAGCTGTCTTATGAAAAATAAACCACTATTATTTGAAAATATCAATGAATAATAGACTTAAAATCTGTATTGATCATAACTTTCTGGGTTCGTGTACGAACTGTAAACTGCAGTGGAAAGACTCTCAGTAAAGACAGAAACGTAAAAACAAATCGTACCTAGGACTATAGGAAAATGTACATATATAGAAGACAAAAGATTTCGTCGCATCACTTACATCTGTACTTCCGCCTGTTTCATTACTTGAATTTCCAAATGTTCTGAAACAGCGAATCAAATATATTCCAAAAAAAACCCAATTCTCTCTGACTGTAAAATCCTAACAGACAGCTCAGTCCAGTTAGGAAAGCAGCTGGAAACCAGGTATAAGCTCAGATACAGTCAGCCTACATGTAGCCGTACCCTCCCTCTACAGTCAGACCATATGAGCAGAGTAGACTTGCCCTGAGCTTCTCATATGTGATTGTCTTAGGGGAATTTTAGTTTTAAGAGCCAGAGGTTTCGCATCCTCTGCATTCAAACATTGAAAGTTTCATTTCCCCCAGTTACGAGCAGTGGAGACGAATATCATGCCCTTATAGTGGTTTCCTGCCACCGAAGGAAAACAGACTTTATCCTTATGAACCTTCTAAATATGTTGTAGCGAATGATAACAGTATTATGGGCAGATTAACTAAAATTTATTTTCCAAGGCTCTACAAATTTGTCAACCTTAAAGATTTTCTTAACTGTCACCTATCATTGTAACAGAATACTTTTGGAGCAATGATAATTTTAATAATGGTAATGACAAAGATAACAAGAATTATAATAATAATAATAATAATAATAATAATAATAATAATAATAATGAAAATTGTAATAATAATCAAAACTATAAAATTCACAAACATGATTGGTTACCACAAGCCCAATTTAGGCTCCAATGGGAGAGTGTACACGTCATGCTTGTTAATGGGGTGAGTTATTGGACAGTTCGTGTCATGTGCATGCACTGTTGTCATGTACTTTACTGAGTTACCTGTTGTTGTTCTTGTTTTTTTAAATACAAAACATCGTTTCTTATATTTTGTCCCACTTTTGATTAACTTGTAATTAACATATCGGACTCCTGCTCCGGGATCATCCAATTTTTTAGATCACTCATTATTACAGACCAAATTGGACTCAACTCAGTCCTATTACCATTACTCATAATAACAATGATAATAACAACACTTTATTCATTAGTCATAGTGAGATCACCGAGGGAAGATCACTTAACTAATAGGGGACACCTAGAAAACTAGTACTTAGGCCTGAACTAACACATGATGATCTTGCATTATATATATATATATATATATATATATATATATATATAATGAGAATAAGATAATAAGCTTAACATACACTCTTCAGTTTTTGGTGTTCTTGTTTCCCCCCCCCCCTCCCCCCCAGTTTTCTACAGGTCATTAAGGTTTCGGTTATGCATGTACAAGTGACAACTATTAAATTCATTGTCCAAAAGTGGTATCTCTGCTGCGCAAGAGTGCCTTGAAGTTAGTGGTAATTAGATCAATCACAAACATTCACACGATTGAGCCGTAAAGGAACAACGCAAGTAAAGAGCAACATTTCAATATAAAAATCTCACCTTCTGCTCACCGCCACCTCTGTAGTGAAAAAAAAGACACAACAAAACAGAAAAATTAAAAGAAACCGAAACAAAACAAAACAATATATAATCGACATCAAGCAGAATTTATCTCTCACAAGCAAAGCAAAGTCTGTTTGATGTACATCAAGTTTAGTCTTAAAGTTTACAACGTCATGCAAGGTCTTTTAACCATAACTAGATAACAAAAACAAATTATTAGTTTATAATACACTGTTTTGAAAGGTATCTGTTAAAAATACAAAAATCGCTTAAGCAAAGATCATAATGCAGCAGATAGTGAACTGAAGATTGAACTTAGTCTTAGAAAAAAGGAAAAATGTAAAAGATATATGTCTGGGATGCCAAAACTAGTGTTCGTTTGAGAGCATAACATGTATGCAACACTTGCCTTTAGTGCCTTTCCTGTTGCACCTCATTTTCCTGCAAGTCCACCAAACTAATATTCCAGCAACAGCCAGTGCAACAATTGATCCAAATACTGCACCAAGAACAATACCTATGGTACCTACAATGTGTGATAAGCTTGAGAAATATTTTTCCCAATGATCTTATCGTAAAGAATCTGCCTCTGTTCTCCTTTAATGGTCAGGAAACATTTGGAATTCAGTCAGAACTCTGACTGAATTCCAAATGCGTTGTAAAGAACTCAATTCTTTCCACAATTTTGTGTTTCACAATTCATTACATATATAGAACTGAACAGGTTGCGTTAATGCATAATTATTTACTCATTCAGAAAAAGATAGGGGATACAAATTCTGCTCATGCAAGGTTGAAAGAAATATGGGATAATTTATATCGAATATTCTCCCCTCTTTAGAAGCTTTTAAACCACAACTTCCAATTGGTTATTCACAGCAAAAATAAAATAGAGCCACCCACTCCTCAATCCACAAACTTGTGGATAAACTTGTGGATAAAATCGAGCATAATCAGATCTCACCTTTTTCCACAGCCAGGATTTGTTGCATAGAAGAAATAATATAGAAAAAGAGAAAACCATGATTATAATCTAATCACCATTACAAATATTTAAAGCTCATTAAAAGTAAAGCTACAAAGTTGTTCCCTGAACCAGAAAGATATAAGAGTATTAAGGTATATAACACAACTCATAAATTAAAGCTCGATTCAGTTGGACGGTAATTGTTTTTTCCTTCTATTTTTAGAAAACTTAAAGTCACAGGTGTCTAGAGAGTACTAAATCAGATAAAATTACACGTCACTTAACATTTACAAAGTCTAGCATTTGTCATTGAAGAATGTTTTACCTGTGTTCGTCCCACTTGGAAGCTCTGAAGATTCTATAAAAAATACACTCAATTAAATTGAGGAAAACAAGCATGGCTGCTATTTCCTTGGACTCATGCGGGCCACACATCGCATCTCAGAAAGAAAATGTAAACAAATCATGTTCTAAAACTACAGAACAAAAGTTAATTTAGGTAAATAAAAAGCATGAGATATTGGGAAACATACATGTACTAAACATTTGCTACATGTTTGCATTGAAATCAAAAGTTAACTTGAGGAAATACACAACAAAAGTGTGTACACAATTGATGCATAAACTGTCCTGTTAGTGCTCAAATTGGGGCTGGTTTTGATTGTCATTGTTAACATTACCATTATACACCAAGTCTTCAGATCTCTGTATAAACCTGCTGCAGTAACAATTTTGAGTCAAATACAGTAACTTTCAAAAATGTTTTTTTACACCAAAAAAAATATGCTTACAACCAAGTACAGGGCAAGGACATTCATAAATCAACTTGCAAACTTTTGTATGAAGTGTTGTGAGGACTTACCCCCATTAACTGGTGATGTGGCACCTCTACCTGTTGGTTCTACATCAGGTCTTTTCCCTTTTATGGCACCAACACTGAACTCTCCCAGCTTTCCATCTTTCACAGCATCATTAAGTGTTATGATAACATCTTGTTCCTTTGTAGTGGAGTTGAATTTCAGTCCAAGGTCAACAATGATACTTCCACACCTTGGGACAGACATGAACTGAGGGTTAGAGTGACATGAAATGGAAAATAGATAACAAAAGAGCAAATAATAAAATTTCTAAATTTAAACATTTGTAAGTGAGAGCAACTGGCAATCATCTAAATCCCATGAATTCACATACCTCACACCTATCAACTGCACTCCTTCATAGCCAAGTTTATCAGAAAAAGCCTCCTCAAGCTGCAAGTTAGCATTTCAATCATTTGTCTTAAAATGTTAGTGTACATGTATCACACATGAGAACAAATGAGGATGACACCAAATATTATGTATTAAATTGAAGATGGCTGCTTTGCTGAGAATTGGCTGAGAATCAGTCTCTGAGTATTAATCAGCTCTTTCTTTAAAGTACTACTTCAATGAATAATTGTTATTCTTCTTGTCACTTGCCTCTCATTTTAATTTGGAAGAAAGCACCAGGCCTCTTATTGCCCTAAATACAGACCATGAGCAAACGCTGAATAATAAGAAGATTGTGACAAGCTTAATTTTCTACTTCAAGATTTGACAGAACTCTAACAGACTGCATGCAATCTAGGAATTCAAGAAACACTGTAGAATTAAACGAAATATTCTCCACACATTCTCCATAGCCAAATTTCCTTTTGATCATTATACTGCCAGCACAAAAGTCTCTGACCCTGAAGTAACCAACACTCAGAGACAGCTATAATTAACAATTTATCGAAGTTATAAGTACATTACGTTACCAGTTCTTTAAATTTCTCCAGTAATAAGGATTGGTTGTATTTTCCATCTATGCATGTTTCACTGGTGATGACAATAGTTATGTTAATCACAATTCCTCCAATGTCTGTGAAGTAGGAGAAAATCATTACCAAAAAATTTACTCAATCTTTTTATTGATAAATTGGTTCAACTCAATAAGATTACCCAACCAAAATGTCATGTTGGTACATGTATGAAGATACAGCTGTTATAGATACATGACTACAGTGTACATGTGACTTACAAACATTGGCAGTTTTTGAATCATCTCCATACAGATTGGCCACTCTGCAGGTATAGTTGGCATCATTAAGGACTTGTGAAATTTGAAGTGTATTCTTGTTACAAACTTGTTCTGGGTCACATGGAGTCCAAGTGTAAGTAGGTGGAGGGTTTCCTTCTGCTTCACACTTAAAAGTTACACTTTGTTGTAGATCAGCAATATACTCATGTTGAAATGTACCAATCTTGGCTGGATCTGTACATCAAGTTGGAAAATGAAAAATCAGATTAAAAAACAGCATCTACCCAAAGACATATCTGAGTGACTTGTCTTCAATAACTACTTCAAGGGGTCCAACCCTACCAGTACACTTATATACAAGAGGGTATTCTTTATCTAGTTTGATGGTTTTGTTAGTTCAATTCACCTATGTGGGTTTGCAAAACAATTTACCCTAATTTATTTACTGTGGTTTTTAGTGAAATAACTATTGTCTGGATATTAACTGCATGATCCTCTTGCCATCCATAAATGCATGTTAAATAAATTACTGGTGATCAAATTTTCATAGAATCCAATAATTGAACAGAGAACTTTTTCAGGTTGTCACTCAAATAACAATTGAGGTGATATTTCAAATCTTTGAGCTGAGATCTTTCCAGGTATGTTGAACTCAATTGTTCAAGATTTTCAAATCAGCATCAACTGAATATGTTTGCTAACACAGATAGTGGAGCACTAGAGTCTCCTAACACAGCATCTAATCTTAATTTTAACTGGAGTTTACATTTACAGGGGTGGGAGAACACCTCCCAGAACATTGCAGTGTTTCAAGCTGCGACAATTTTGGTCCCTGCCACAAGTGACAAAATATATTTTGCGACTAAAATTCCAACAAAAGTTGCCAATTGGAAACCAACAGATTGAAAAAAACAGAAGGGAAAAATGTGAAAAATGTATTAATCCTTGGACAAACTATCAATTAATTTACTGTTAGTTAACGCTTCTGACACATTCATCTCATATGTAACCATGTATGATAATGAAATATGACACATGGATGGAGTTTGGGAAAGAGCTCTCACGACACTTTGCACCCATAAGATTAAAAGTTGTGAAAAGTAAAATTCTTGACAAACGGTCAGTTCAAAAAAAGGCCAAAGTAGCCTTCAGTACCACCTTCTAACTTTAATTTTTATGGTAAGAAGTATGGTGACTAAATATCTAGTGATTAAAGATGTTATTCACACTATAGAAGACTTTAATAACACTATTAACCAGCTCACTTTAAACAGGAGATGTTTCTCAGCTGAGCAATAGACAGAAATCATATATAACATGATTTGTTACTGAGTCTCACCAACTTTGTAGTAAATTGTTTCTCGTTTCAGAAATCAGAATTTTTTTCATTCTCACTCTCTTGACTGTTATTACATGTGCAATCTTTTAATCATCAAGGGATATAAGTCTTTTTTAGGGGGAGGGGAAGGGACTGGAACAAAAACTTTTTATGGCAACCATTTTACAATTGAAGGTCACCAAAGGGTTATTTTTTGAAAAATTGAGCTTGGAGCCCATCATGGATGTATTTTGCCAAACATTAATACAAGTAATTGACAGTACACATTAGAACACAGAAAATATGGGGAAAGTGTATCTGTCTTAAACATTATTCAATGTTTTTCTCAATGCATACTCACAAGTAACAGCCACATAAACTGTTTGATTCTCTGGTTTACCAAAGCCATTATATGCTGTACAGGTATATTCTCCTGCATCAATCCTGTTGATGTTTGTTATGGTCAGCACCTTTCCTTCTTGCACCACAACAGTATATCCTTGGTTCCCGAGCTTCTCTTTGGTCCAAGTGATGTTTGGTTCTGGTCGACCTGTTGCTTTACAGGTTAATTTAATGTTGTCACCTTCAAGAACGGTTCGGTTACCTCTAATTCTAGTGATATATGTTGGAACTAAGAACAATCAAACAGTCAAGTAAACTTCAAGGATAATTGAATGACATAATTGCACTGTTAACATGCCTTTAAATGTTCTATGCAAACCCTGCATATAAAAATGAAATTCACACATTATGATTGTGCAAACTAATTGCATTCAAGAACAGTCCCTGAATTATAATCCCATATTAGTGCTTTAATATCCATAAATGTCTGCCTCAGGAAATTCAGAGGACCTTCAAAATGCCACTTAATTTTTCTGAATTATTTTCTCAGCTTTAACTAAGCATTATTATTTTAACTGCAGCATCCAACAAATTATTTTGTAGAAATTAATAGTGAGACCCACAGGAGCTATTTGCAAAAATGTTCTTTTTGAAAATCATTGGTTAATTCTTTATTTCAATTCTGGAAACATCTCCTAGTTTCAGTTGCAGATAGTGATCTCTGCTATATCTCTGCATATAAAAGTAGGCTGTGAATGAGTAAAGATTAAATAGAAAATAATCCTTGACAGTGACCCAGGAGGTTGGGTGTGAGAGCAAGAAATTAAAAAAATCCCAAGAGGAAGGACAAAATAATCTTGCTGAAGTGGAGGAGGACTTGTAGTTTAAGCAATCTTTCCTTATTGTGTGCATCCACCAACTATTAAGAAGTACTGCTGCTGCAAGTTCATTAGCCACTATAAACTTGAAATCAAAATTGCTGTCTGGCGGAATTGAACCATTGTCTGTCATGGACATGAAACTGCTAAACAAATTATGGTTTTCAGGAAACTATCTAGCAAAGAGTCTCCTGGAACTCCCTAGAATGCTTTTGTGTATCTATTGGCATACTGAGCTATACCTCGACATGTGGTCACCCAAAAGTGTAAAATTTTATCTGTGCAAAACTTTGGAGCAAAAAAAACATACCTATACTGTACAATAAAGGCAAAAAGTAGGTGGATGACAACCCTCTAATCAACATAATAAGGAGAAATCTTGTGATTCATCTCTAAT